GTCCAGTTCCGCCCTGGTGGGAGAGGTTAAGACAAAAAATACACACACCACGACCTCTCCAGATCTTGAGAACCATGACAACGACATTCTAATTCAAAGGCTTCATGACACAGTGGGTTTACCGGGTCAGGGTCCTGATTGCATGGATGGATGGATCCTCAAGGCTCAGTCTTTGGTCCATTGCTGATTAACCTTTACATACTCCTACTTGATACTATCACGAAGAATCATAAGATATCCTCCCATTCTTATGCAGATGACACATAGTTGTGTCATCTGGAGGTTAGTTCATCCTTTTCCTCTGATGAACTAACCTCCATTCACAAACTAATGAGCTGCACTGATGACATTAACTGCTTGATGTCTGGAAAGTTTTCTAGAGCTGGATAGAAACAAAACAGAAATATTTGTTGTTTTTCCAAAAAGTCAGAGACAGAAAATGATTTATCCACTCTGTCTCTCTCAGTGAGCAAGTCTGGAGTCTTTCAGTCATTCTGGGTTTCAGTTTTGATAATCGCATCAATATCATCTCAAACTGACTCTGAGAAATTGGTCCATGCATTCATATCAAGTAGGATAGATTACTGTAATGCTCTGTTTGCCAGATTATCCAAATCATCAGTAGGGTGACTTCAGTTCATTCACAATGCAACAGCCTGAATCCTAACAGGTACCAGGAAATGTCATCATATTACCCCAGGGCTGAAAGCACTCTGTTTGGCTCCCAGCACAATATAGAATAGCCTATAAAATGCTATTACTAGTGCAAACCATGCTTCTTTAATGGCAGTCCATTAAGCTTAGTTGCCAGTTAACTCGAATGTGTTTTTCGTTTTTTCCCCAGTAACAAAATACAGCAGATAATTAAAGTAATGGTTCACATTAGACGGATAGGGGAGAAGGCTAAAAGCTCTTATATTAAAGCTTTTGCAAAACTTGCATTTACATATGATTTATTTTCTAACAGCAGAGTTTGCTCTGATAATCCAGTTCTTCAATCTCAGTGCAGGCAATGTACGGTAAATGGACTTATTCTTATATGGCCCTTTTCTACTCTCCTGGAGTACTCAAAACAATCTATACAACATGCTAAATTCACCCATTCACACAAACACTGGTCTAAACACTGTGTCCCAATTACTGGTGAATATACGCTCACCAACCACTTTGTTAGGTGCACCTCAAAATCTGATGATCTACTGGGATTTTCCCCATAAAAACAATTCATAAAAGAGAAAATAACCAGTGAGCAGGTGAAAATGCCTAAAAAATAAACACCAGACTTACGTGTTAGTCTTTGTAAAGAAGAGAAACAAGTTTTCTACATGCTCTTACATTGCTAGGCTAATTAGCCAGTTAGCTAACTTATGATACATATTTTCCTGATCACTTAGGTTCATAGCTTCATGTTCTTACATTTTGACTCACTGACAAAAGGAGCTTCAGTTTAAAGTTATGTTTGGTCTTGTTTGTGTTTACATTTTTCCAGAAAGTCATTTCATTTGCTTTTCTCCAGAACATATATTTAATGTTTCTCGTCACCACTAATGATGACTTCCATCTTACATGGCTGACCAAAAAAACAAAAACAAATGCTTCCTTCAAGACTTTGCCTCAACCAACTGTTTTCACTGAGTGCCCTTACTAAAAAAACATTTGTATGAAAAACACCCATATTGCTTTATGAGACCACTAGTAATTTAGTGTATGTTCTTTGATAGCATGCATATAAACTTGTATTTACAGTTAATTTATTTATCCTAATAGTGTTGTTTCTGTACATTGTGTAGTACCATGGAGCTGGCCAGGACTTGTGTTGGGACACCGTACTACCTCTCCCCAGAGATCTGTGAGAATCGGCCCTATAACAACAAGACGTATGTATGTGTGGTTGCCAGTATGATATATATATCATACTGTTCAGATTGTTCTGTTATACCTGTGCAACCAGTAAGCTCCATAATATAACCTCTTTTTGGATATTTATTTTATTCCATGATAAGCTACAGAGGCTTGGTGTGCCCACAATTTAATGTTTAAAGAAAAAGTTATACAAACCAATTAAAGGAGGGGCACAAAAATAGAGCAGATATGGTAAAACTGTGTTTTTGTTTTGTACCTCACATGTGTGGGGCTGAAGCTCCAGTTGTGTTCAGCTCTGAAACCAGACATCTAAATGTCTGCACAAATAAATTGATCTGTCATTAACTTTGATCAAGATCTTTTTTAGCAGTGGAGCCAGAGTGTAAAGTCTGTTTATTAGGAGCAGATTATGTAGGAAACTACATAAAAAGAATTTTCTGATAATTTATATGTGAATATTTGCTTTTTTAAATGTTCCTATGGGACAGCAGTATGAAACAGTATGTCACAATGTAGTTTTTATCATCTTTCTTAGTTTTGGTCTCAGGTTTTTGAGTTGTTTTGGAGTACAGGAAAACCTCATAGTACAAACTTCCTTCTTCATAGTACAGTCCCCTGCAGTCCTCTGCTATGTTTTCCAGTCTCTTGAAAGTAAAAAATCCTTCTAACCCTTAAAACTATTATCCTTAAAGGCCCACAGTTTTCGAAGAACACAGTTTTTAAATTGCTCTGTTTTCAAATTTACTGTCTCAAAAATTGACTTTTATTTTTAAGACATCTTTATCTTGAGGAAACCGCAACACAAGTATGCAGCGTGCATCACACGGAATCAGCCACTGAAGCCTAAAACCTTTTTTTGTTCCAGGAAATCATTGGTGAAATCATTGTGATCTTGAAATCCCTGCTACACCTTGTTTTTGGGGACTAAGCTGTGATTGGATGTGGGAGGGTTTAAACAAATAGCTGAGGCCAGAATGAGGAGGTTCCCTGCTAGAACCTGTGGCTGTGGATTAGCTTTGTGGGTGTAATAATAGAGCACGGTGCTGTAATCTTCCAGTCATGATCTGCTCAGGCTGCAGCACCTTCACTCGTGTCAATGTGTTGAAACACATACACAGAGAGACACATACAGGCCTGCCAAAAGCAAACTCACACATGCAACATCTCAAGCTGATGATTCGTCCTTCCTCCATTCTTTTTTGTGTTTTTGCTGCACTCTTCTGCAGTCTTATTTTGATACAACTGAGGTCAAAGTTCCTTCCTCTTTCACACACACACACACACACACACACACACACACACACACACACACACACACAGTTTTCATGGCTGACACCCCTACTGACATGAACTAATTCCAAACTCCTAAGCTGTCCTTTTAAAAGAAGACAGAAATGCCTTTAACTTCTCAACACTTAAAAGGTCCCACCAAACTGCGAGAGGACAAACATCCCACACCCACGCTTGGCTCTGAGCCAAGAAAGCAAATGCCTGAAAAGAATTTTTACTATTGGCAGCTATACTCTGATTAGCTGCTTCAGTGCTCTTAAGATTGTGGTGTTGTTCAGCTCAAGCGGACTGGAAACTTAAGTTTCACAAGGAAATATTGAG